TAGTAACTTCCGGAAGGGTCGGTTCGGCCTTTCACCGTTCTCTGTAGGGTCTTTGGAAGGGTTTCTTTCAGATGCACCAGATGAAGTTAGGTTTACATTGGCAGAGACCCTGGAAGTGAAGCCGTGTTCAAGGCAGGGAGGAGCTTCAACACGCTACCGAAGTGGATGTCATGTGGCCCGGAGCAGAAGCGAATTGAGGTGCATTACTGGCTGACGGGCCTATCTGCTTCGCGCATGTACCTCGTCCAGGCGTGGGTTATCACACTTCTTCGGCCCTTCATGTGAGAAGAGTTGAAACTGTCCTCAGCTGCGCGAGGATGTCAGCAGCAGCATTGCAATTTTGGCTAGCAAGCTCGCTTGCCTGCAGGTCGCGGCAAAGACTGCCTGTGGTCAAGGTGCCTTCATCAACCAGAATGTCTGTGGCGGTGTCAGGGGATAGAGGAGGATTTACAGCCTATAACTTGTTGCCCGTGCCTTCAACAGGGGCATGTTTGCCCCTCGTTTCCTCCAGTCGTATACAACGAGCTGCCTCCGCCACATCCTTTTCGCAGGCGAGTGGTCCCCGAAGAGCGTCCCACTCTTCACTTGGCGAAAGGCCCCACAGGCTGGGACGTCCTAGAGCTATCGCTACTTCTTGTAATTGTAGGAGGGCGAGCTGAGCCAAAGAACCCCCGCAAGCTGGCACGGGCCTGGCTGGACCCGAAGGTATTAAGAGCTCCACCCAAAGTCAATCCTTCGGCAAGGTCGCCATGCCGCAGCTCTTGGCCGGTAGCCACGCCTCCTTGGTCTTCGGCCTCACGCCACTCGGAGTTTCGGAAACGGGCTCCGAGAGTGTGGTGGGGGTTGACCTCATGCACTGCCCGGAGATCAGAAGTTTCCTCGGGTTCGCACTTGTGTCATCACTTCCTGGAAGTTTCAGGAAAAGTTATTTCCGTTGGTGCGCACATGAAATCTTACGACTACTTGCATCAGTTCGTCTCGGTACAAAGGTGCATCGGATGTTTTGCTGCTTGCTACCGAGCCAGCTTTTTGGGTTGCGCTCACAGCACTGAGGTTCCAGAGCCCAGAGGACCCAACCAAAGGACGGCTTCTTTTCTAGCGGTTGTTGCTGGTGCGGGCTGGCAACGGCAGGCTTCTGACAGGCGACTCTGCAATGTGACACCTCGAAAACTAAAGGAACTGCGGTGTCCAAGAACACACTGCAACCTCCAGGACAGGACGAAGAGGTGGAACGCTTCGAGCTCACGCCCCTCGGCTTTAGTGAGCATGTCCTGGAAGCATACCGCGGCCTTCAGGAAGGAAGCCTCCACGTCCAAAGCCTTCCCCCTCATCCCCAAACTCCCAAATTTGACTCGCGATGTCCGAGACTGAACAGAAACCTGAAGTCACGCGAACGAGAGGCTGCAGCCGCTACAGCGCGGGGCAGAGACGCGGCACCTGGAGGCCCAGAGTCTCCAGAATTAGATATTTCGTTTTGGGGATCGCGGGAAGATCCAGAAGAAATCGTCATGTAAGAAAACTTGCCGTGAAAATTTCCGGTACTCATCCAGCAGGCCACGGTCTTCGTGCTGGACGGCTTAAGTACAGTGAAGGAGCCTTAAATGTCAGTGTCATGCTCTTCCTGCATTGACCTAACCCCAAAGACTCTAGTCGTCGCTACTCGTCAGTCGGTTAGGTTTTCGAGCACACATCAGGTGGCTTTGCGTTTGCAGCATTCAGCAAAGTTCAGTCAACGAGGATCCTGAATCCGGCAGCCTCAGGACCGAACCAATAAGCTGAAAGCCTGACCTAGAAGGGCCTATCATCCCCACAGCGTCTGAAGCACCAACCTCTAAACCCTAGGCATACCCTGAACTCTAAACCCGAAGCTCTAAATCCTACACCTTAAAGCCTCAGAAGTCCAAAGCTTGCACCAGATCACCTGCGCGGCAGCCGCACAGTTGGCCGCAGAGGTGAAGCCGAGGCCTTCAGGATTCAGCTAATGTGGGGGCCTAAATAACTACCTATACTAGTTTGGGGTTCTTTATTATGATTATAGTATAAGGGGCCCAAAACCCCATTTTAATCATTCGGGCCTCTATATTAGCTGTGCAGAGCCTCATTTCTGCATGAAGTATGTGCACCACAACATCATCTTCGCATGCTGCAAACAATCACCAAGATCACGTGTACACACATGCTCGTGTATTTCTACCGATACTACCGCATGATGTACTTAGTTGTCCTCCCACTGCCCACTGCTTTGTTGCGCTAGGTGTTTGTACAAATCGGGCTTGTGACCCTTCGTTTGCAATGTTTACAACTCTATTGGGCTGTCAGCACATACATTTCTTGGCTTCCAGAGGTTCCGTTGTTCAGTGATCCGTTGTTCAGTGAGTGCCAAGGGTAGTGCACATGTGCTATTTCGAGCTTTCCCTGGCGGAGAAGACCTTGGATCCCGGAGCTAGTAGGTCATTTCCTCGATGTTGGTCTATCTGCTTCAACAGTCTGTTAGACGTAATGCCGAGTGGGGATGATTCTTAGAAATCAGTGGGAAGCCAAGCTTGCAAAGCACAGTACAACAAGTGGGACCTCACAGAGGGGAAGTTGAGATCGTAGGAAGACCACAGAGCGCACGAGGCTCTCGAGCATGCTCGGGCTTTCGGAGGAGGCGTTCCCCTCTCACGTGCCCTGGCCTTGAGGTGATCTGAGACCTTCTGGGGCTTTTGGAAGTTTCGGGGATTCCGTTTGGGTGGCCTCCATCTTCTCATCCAACGCAGACTCAACGGCTTCAGCTACATCTTTAACGTCGTCTCAAAATGAGCGTGAACTGCTGTTCAGGTTGTTGTGGCGAGCCAGCTGCAAGATCGGAGTGCTTACTCCTGCTCCATGGCGTCGGTTGAGACTTGAATCCTCGAAACCAATTCTGAAAATGAAGTATCCCTGAACCTTGTGGCATACTAGATTACTAGAACCCCTGGTTATAAAGAGTCCCCTACCAGATGTGCAGGACACGTGACAGCTAAGAACTTAGTGAAATCCAGGCACGGCTATGGCCATCACACCAGCCGGCAATGGCCAGTCGTCGCAGGCATGGGGCTTCTCCCAAGTCAAACCAGTGCGGATTGCCATAGGGACTTGGGTTAGGCTCGGGTGCAGGTTGCAATTTTCAATCTGACATCTACTGCTTCGGAGCAAGGAGTCGGAGCTTCTCCTTCCTGATGTGGTTCGAGTTCGACACTTGTTCGTCGCACCTGAGAAGAGTTTCCGAGGTTGCCGAAGGGAAGCAGGAACTTAGCAGAACCTCGCAAAAGCAGAAAAAAGTCCCCCAGCTTCAGTTGCTGCGAGGCGCTGCGGGCAGAAACCTTGCCTGTGCCTCCACCGATTACTGGCCTCTCTGCTGCCCGACCAGCAGAGAAATCCCTTCGCCTTGAGGGGACGTGGGCTTATAGTGACTAAGGTCACCGCCCGTGCATCGCTCCTGGCATAAGAGAACTTTTCGGGTGGCCACACACCGACCTTCTAAACCCTGGCAACTCAGGCCTCAAAATAATCAGGCCCATGGGCGGAAATGCGAGAAGCCAAAGAAGCACATACACACCCAGCCCTGAAGCTGAAAGCCGAGGTTGAGACAGCGGACCACCGGTCTGCCACCATTTCCTGGCGGATCTCTCCGAGTCCGGGGTCCAAGCAAAGCGGGACGTTACTCCGTTGGAGGGTTCCTTCGTGGTGAATGGCCAGACGATCGTTAGCCGTTAGCCTTTGGAGTGTCGAGCGTCCAGGGTCAGGGGTCAGAAATGCTTGGGCTGAGCAGTGCGGGTAGCCGTTTTGCAACCTGGACTGGCTCGGAGATTTCAGGCAGGGAACGGCAGGATCTCCCAAGCTTTGTCTGCTATTATCTAACATTCCGCACGCTTAGTCACCGAAGGGTCAGGAAAGGCAAGAAACGAAACAGACCCCTTGTTGCAGTTCTTAGGTGCGGATCTCGAACGCACGGAGCTTTGTCTCGGCGAAGATGCAGAGGACGAGCGAAGCCAGCGGCGACTGCGAGGCCTGTGTGCAAGCCTTTTCAGAAACCAAGTACAACTAAAATCGAAGAGTTCAGCCTCGCAGCCGACATGGGAGCATTGGGAGTGGCAGTAAGGCAGCATCATGTTGGCTAAAAAGAAGGAACAGAAGCATATCTTCGAGCATCAGCCGCTAGGAGGGGCCCTTCTTTGCGAAAGCTCTACAAGCTGCCTTGACAATGCCAGTGCCAGGCTTCCGCGTGCGCTTGAGCTACGAACCGGAGCTGCGAACCACAGGCGACGGCATTCTTTCGTTGTGTGAGATATGGGTGGGGAGCGAGGCAGAGCCAGAAGCCACCAGGAAAGTGCTTGTCTACGTCACCGCCCGACCAACATGGTAGTCAGAGATCGGACAATCGCCCCGATGCACAACCTTGAGCCTGTTTGCCAGGAGGCGGCATTCGGGCGCAGCCTGCCTGGACCGAAAGCATCGGCGTCCGAGCCTCCGCTGCTGAGCGGCTCGGGACCGAGCCAGGCACTGACTGACTATGCTGTCAAGTGGTGCTCAGATAATCGTAGGATGGAGGTGAGGGGCCTTGAGGACGCCGGCAGCTGTGAGTAAATCGGTGTACGACGGTGTCTGAGAGGTTCAAGGTCTGCTGAAGTTCAGCTTCGTTTGTTCAGCAAAAGGGGCGACGAAAAACGTGAGCTGCTCAGGTGAAGGTGTTCTTTCGATGTCCTTAGTGACTTGTTCCGCACAGGAACTGTGCATCATCATGGCATGTAAACCAATCCCTCACGCGTAAGCCTTCCCCTCCACTGCCAGACCTTAAGTACGCCCCGCAGGTCTTTTCCGCTACAAGCTTCGAGATCTCAAGTCCTGCAGCACTTGTTTGGTGCAGGCTGGACTGTCAAAAGCAATGCCTTACAAGGTGATTCCTGCGACACAAGTTTCTCTGCAGTTCCTCTGATGTTCTACCTTGGCACACTTGGTTTTTTGTTGTTTTCAGCCGGGTCTTTCCGGTTGCAGGTGATGGCAGTGGCTCACGGAGAAGGTTCCCCGGTGCGACATTCTTCTTCGGGGTTCCGGTTGTCGTGCTGAAGCCGGGTGCTTTAAGTGTACAGTACGTGTGGACTGAGGGCGGCCGTAGCGAGTCTGAGATGTGTCCTGTCACGACAACGTCCACCTCATTGGGTGCTTCGACCCCGTCTTTTGACCCTCCTCCTTCCGTGGCTCATAAGCCACATCTTTGTGCTGCACCACTGATGCACAGCCCTAAGCCCTCAAGGTGTAGTTGTCGATATCTCAGGGGCTAGCCCAACCCGTTAAGTATGCATCGGCCGTCGGCTGTACAAGTAGCAGTCGGAATGGCTCGCTCGGTATTCAGTGCGCTTTTGGATGCTAGCAAGGACTCCTTGGGGTGTAGGATCTAGCTTAAGATTCGCAGCGCCATAGGTGGAAAGTATGACATATATAGCTGAGGTGATGGTGATTGGTCGGAAGCTGCACAAATCTGCACGGAAGCCCTGGCGCCTGAAGTTCGAGGCGTTTGGGTTCATTTGCTAGATCAATACCCGAGTACTCCTTTGGATGTTTGCGTTAGCAGCTGCAGGGCATGACGTAGCCAATTGGTGGCAGGAATCCAGTCGACCGGCGGAGTTGAGTATGCTATATGCGCTGCGATAGTTGCGGAGTTTGCAGCTTGGAGGCACCCCGGTGAACGAGCAGATTCTGCGGCAGAGTGCCTCGCTGAAATGGGTGACGCCCAAAGAGATTCAAGGCTGGCCTGGGCCGTGGGGGAAGCCCCAAACTCGAAGACTCCATTCTGTCCATGCTGTGCAGGCGCCCCCGTCTGTGGATACAAAGTGCACCTGACCAAGGCCGGCGCTCGAATTCGCCTGGGAAAGTAGAAGTAGGGCTCAGCCAAGCAGGGTAGCTACTGTAGCAGACTTATCACGCTACCTGTAACCCACCGAGCAGATCTCCTTGCTTAGTTGGCTTACGCTTACCCTTCAAGCAGCCTGTTCAAACTCTCGTCTCCTTAAACAGTGCTGTTGATTTCTCTCTTGATCAGCCTGAAACTGCTCGAGATGGGCGAACCTTTCATCCAAGTTTCCTTTAAGGCTTTCTTTATGTAAGGGTAAGGGTTGCTTTGAGATTCCTTCTTTCTCACCACTTCCTCCCTTGAGACTCGAGAGCGTGGCCGCGGCGCCACACGGGAGTTCGAGTTGCAGCTGCCTCTCGGATTTTTTATGTCTCCTCAGGGAGGATTTTGCTTGGCGTTGTGTGATTTGAGGTTCTAGGGTTTCGGGTTTAGGGGTGTGGGGATGTTGAAAAGTCCCATGTTTGGCTGCTCGGGTGAAATTGGAAATTGGAGTTTCATTGGGCTGTTAAAACACTGAATGACCCTGAGAGCTCCCGTGGAAGCTCAGGAACTTCAGTGTTCAGGCGCTGAACATCTCTGTCAAGATTCGTGTCATTCCTGTCATAAGCTTCTTGTCACTTGTCCTGTCTCTTTTGTTCTTCGATTATGACCCTAAACCCTAAACCCTAAACCCTAAACCCTAAACCCTAAACTGCACTTCTGATTAGTTCATATTCTGTGGCCCAAGGCAGGGAGCCCCGAGCCTGCTCGCCGCAGCGAGCTCAAGCGCATCGGAGGTGGGGGTGGCTAAATTCATGGGATCCCTGCTCAGGGAAATGGCTGGGGAATAGAGGGACGCGGAGGGTGCTGGCGAGATTGTGTTTTGTTTTGGAAGTTGGGCCGTGCGGGTGGGAGCTTGCTCGTGAAACCCTCCTATGCGGTCTAGGTTCAGAGCCACGTCGTCAATTCTGGGCGCGGAGGTTTATAGAATGCTGAAGAAACTTGTGAGATCCCTTCAGCCCTTCGGTTGGTCACAGCAACTGACTTCGTGCCCCAAGCTGAGGCGCCGGAGCAGCTCGGAATCTTGGCATGATTAATCTGAAGGTCGGTATAATTACAAGAATCGCCTTGTAGGCCCTATATATGTGTACGATGAAATACCCCAAAGCCGGTTCTACTCATGAAGGTCCCAATATGATCACCAACCAGAGTTGAGGGTCACAGAAGTGCATATTGACATACGCCTGTCTCCGAAAGCATGAAACCCCGCACAAACCTCGGCTGCAGTTCTGCTTGGCAGGAGTTATACCAGGCAGCTTTAAGAACTCCGGCCATAGCGAAAACCAACCATGTTCATGTTCTTTTCTGCAGCAGAGCTGAAGAAGGACTTCCATGCGTAGGACTGCAGAGATTTTCCGAGTGAAGCTTGCAAACGAAGATGCAAAGCCAAGGGCGCATATGGAAGGAGGACTTAACTGGGCTGGGGCTCATCGGAAAGAGTGACAATCCGACATCAGCTCGGGAATGCCGCGTTCTCCTAAGCTCTCCCCGAAGCTTCAGTCCTGTCAGAGCCGGTCCTGCAGGAGTCAGATGGTCTCATCACACGGATGGAACTGCGAGACTTGGTGCCAGGCACCTCCTATGCAGTACAGGTGCCTCGCTTCAAAAGTGGAGCAGGGGCGGCGTTTCTGCTTCGGCGGTTGTTCCGACGACAAGAACAGTGGAGAGTGCATAAAAAAACACGCATGCTGAGTCGGCAAAGGATGGTTTTTGCATGCCCGATTAGGTAATTAGGGAACAAGTCCGTGAAGCCTATGTTTCTCTCAGATGCTTGTTAATGGCTGCGGCCCCCAAGTGAACAACCAGTTCGCGGGCAAAGTTGCTGATCTCGGGATTTGTGTTGTCATCTAGAAGCCGCGACGTGCTGTCTGGCAGCTTGTCTACTTACTACTTGTCGCCAAGTATCCGTCTGGTGCACCGGCCCGAGAGAACCGTGAACACTTCGCTTGAACTGAGGTGTCTGCGCTCACATCACGAGGGGAGGGAGAACGGAGTGAGTCCGTGACGCCCCTTTGATGCCGTCAGCATGTTGATTGAACAGCCATCAGCTCTTGGAGTCGTTTTTAGCCCTAGACGTCAGGCTCTAATCGTGTCTGCTGGTCGGACCGTTTTACCGGCCAAGGTTGAAGACGCGGCCGGTGGCACCAACAATGGGGGAGACTTTGAAGCACTGTGTAACGGATATGTCGAGCAGCATACAGGTTCCACATCATGGATCCGGCGAGGCGATGTGACGACCTCCGTATTGTAGTACTTCGTGATTACAATCCTATGTGACCCAATAGTCCTTTGAATCTGACAGCGTCCTTGAGCGTGTCGGGTATGCTAAACTGCAACTTCAAAATCTTACTTTCGAGACTTGCAGTGTCCTCCATCCTTCACACTCGCAGCTACTTTCTATCTTGTTACCCAGATCCTCAGTTTGCTACTGGAACTCGTGAAGGGATCTGTCGCACTTCGTTTTCCTACCGAGGCTATCCGAGCTCGTGTGGTCCACGCGTATCATGACCACCTGATTCTCGAGTGCGCTGGCCGGGGCCTTGGTTACCTATTCGGGAGTTTCCCAAAAACATTAAGGTGCCTTATTTTGGGGTCCTTATAATAGGGATCCCATTATTTAGGGTGCTATATTAGGGTCCCCTATTTTCGGAAACCCCCATTCTTCTGACACAGTCATGCAGCCGGCGGCAGAAACTGGCAGTCTGCATGTAGTACGGAAGCCCTTTCTGACCTGAGAGGATCTTGATGATGCTTGCGGTTCTACTAAATCCTCCGCACCATGTTCCCAGGTGCTGTGCCTGATTGGTCACGGGGCGAAGCCAGCGACGTGAAGGGGTACAGCGCCAGGTACTACGAGTGTGCTTGGTTTCAATAATGGGCCATGATCACATGGTTCATGGTTCAACAGGAGGAGAGCGAGCGACAGCAGTAAGCTTTACGAGGCAGTTATCGGGTTTTGCAACATGCTCAGGACGGGCTTGAACTAGGCAGGTATGTCAGGAGCTGCGCAAGAAGAGACGGATAGATGTCCGCATGCCAAGCAAGGTGCCCGCAGCTATGGGGCCTACAACGGTGCATGGGTCTATGTCGTTCTTGCCTCAGGGCACCTCACTGGTCACAGACCATGAGAGGGCTGACGGCGGCAGAAGGTCTAATGCAATGCAGCCTCTTAGAGGCTACAGCAACCGGTGTGGAATCAGTGAGCAGTCATGAGAGCTACCCTGAGCCACCGGCTGAAATCTGCCTCTGCCTTCAGGAACTTGTGGAGCTGCTTGAGGACGACTTCCAGTGATCTGTAGCTGGTGCAGAGAGTGCTTATTAAACAGCATATCCTCGGAGAGCCTTTGCCGTTCTGTGAGCCCCGTCATTGCGAGGAGTGCGCGAGCACAGAGCTGCTTCGCTTCGCTCTGAGAGGCCTGTCGCCAGAGCGTCAGCAGCTTGATCGAACAAAATGGTGGCTCCAGGTCTTTCTGGTGTGCCTGTCGCGGTGGTTTCTGTGATTAGTGTGAAGAAGCGGGGTTGGTTGAGGACAACACTGAGTTCTGAAAGCTCCTAGTCATGGTTGTGAGAACCTCTCAAACCCCAACGGAGTATTTCTCTCCGACCCGAAGCAACATCGGAAGCAGCTCCATTGTATGATGGACCTGCCCATCAGACAAACGAAAGCACGTGAACTAGCAAGGTGGAGGGCTAAATGATGCTGCTCAAACCTAAGAAAGCCAAACATGCATGTGTATGTTTACATATGTATATATACACGCAGAACAACATATATGCACACACAGCTAATACATGTGTAGAGACAGACATATATGTACACACATGTATTATACGTCGTATATGCGCACACACACACACACGCGTGTTTATACTATGTATGTACATGCTTACGTACATACATACATATGGCCTATAGGACCAACTACAACAAATCCCAGGTATGTCGTTGAAGTGGCCGCCTTGACGGCTGCGGGAAGGGGGCCCTGGTCCGAGTCGCCCTTTCGGCGGCATTTTTGGGGGGTTCATTGGTTCGGTGGGATTTACGTCAGTCAGTGTTGTTGAGGAGTTTGGGGGTTTTGGCATGGTTAGGATTTAGAAAGGTTGGTTTTTGGTTTGGTTGTCATGGGTGGAGAGTGCTCTAGGACCACACGGGTTCTACACAAGGTCCAGGGAGTTGGTGGCATGTGGTCCTGCAGGTTTGGGGCTTGCGTGCACTCTTAGCATTCAGATCGCAGCCCTCAGCCTCGAAGATCCCAGGAGCGAAAAGCTCGCGACCTGGCGGGTGGCACCGCGCTTGGCACTGCCTCAGGCGTTGCTGCGGACGCACGACACGTGCCTGGGCTCAGACTTTCGCTGCTTTGTTATTTTTGCAGTTTGGCACTTCCGCCCTCTCATCTCACACAGAAAACAAGACAACAGCAATCAGTATAATCGTGTCAGAAATTCAGAAAACGCTGGCGGCTTCCGTGGGCTGGATGCACGGCCCAAGCGCTGGACTTGAGGTCTTGAGAGAAAAGCAACAGCCGATGCTGAATCTAGCTCTGCTGGCTGTTGGGGCTCCGAGCCGCCCAAAAGCACCACTTCATCAGGTGGACTACGTCAAAGCTGTCTCTGTCTTCCGATAGAATTCTGTTCTTTGCGTCTTCGTACAGAAGCGGAGTTTTTGTGCCCTTCAGAATTCCACCAGGTTGGTGCTTGGATGGGATCGCGAGGCCTGGTCCTCCAGCGACACGTGACCGTAGTGTAGTTTACCGAAGACTACGAAACCGTTTCGACGAAGTAAGCCGAATCGATGACAAGAAGCCGCTTAACATGGATGACCAGAAGGGCCATGTCGCTGCAGGAGCCGGACCCTGAGACCCTCAGCGGCGAGGTTCACGACGAGGACATCACGGAATTCTTGGTCAAGGCCAGGAAAAAATCAGGGCTCCATCCGGTAGCCTCTAAAATCTTTGCGCTTTGGATGATGTTCTACGGGTTCAGGGCTGACAGCCCAGCTTCAGACAAGGAGACTGAGACGAACAGAGTATGTTCTGCTAGACCGACGATTGCTGCAGCTGCTTCACGTTCTTGTCCCCCACCAGCTGCGCCGAGTGATGGCTTTGCATAGTCATGACTCCGGAAGCCCTCAACCGCGAAGGGGGTGTTTGGCATCAGGTCGCACCTGCCTTCGGCAATCGCACCGCGCAGGCCAGGGAGCGCAGCTGATACGACCAGAGCTAGCTTCGTGCCTTAACGTAGGTTCTCAGACTTGGCCGGTGTTCAGATTTGGTACAAGTTGCCGCTGTGCCGGAGAAGAACTAGATCGAGAACACGCAGTGCCAGGTGCAGTAGGTCACGCACATATACTGTGTGTGCAGAACAGACTCCCATGCACCTGCAATTGAATGTCGTTCGTCACAAAACCCCTGATAGTTGTTGGTTTCCCATCGCCGGATGATGCGTCACAGCCATGGGCCTGCACCAGGCGCGAACGCATCGTGTCCAGCTGCAGAAGGCCATCGGAGTGCAGCCCCCCCCCGCCACACACGGAGCGTACATATACTGTGCCGACATAACGTAAATTACCTTCGTCACAGTCATGTGCACTTTGCTGACATGAGGGTTACCATATCTTCTTATGGCTTGAGGCCAGTTCAGCGGCACAGACACTGCACAGCATGTTTGAATGTACCTACTGGTCGTGAGCTTGGAATATCTGGCAGCCCTTATTCTCACAACAGCTTGCAGCAGTTAAGCTTAACAGTTAAGCTGCCCACCAGGCTTGCAGCTTTGCAGAGACCTGGGCCGCAGTGAAAGGCGGGACTGCCTAGATCCCTAGACATGTCTTGAATATTCAACTGCGAACTTAGACAAAAAATGCAGCGACCGCGATCTCGGCTGCTCGATCTGTACTCGTACTCAGCTGCGGGAGTGCATGGCACCATGTTGAGCACATGTCGCCAGTGAGTCTACATGATACCATGAGCCATGCATCGTGTTGGCGTCTTCAGCTACTTTTTCTTTCGATTTCTGCGATGTCGATTTCAGAAGTTCGGGCAGTAGCAAACTCACAGAAAAGCCGTACGCGGTACCGCCCCGGCCAGATGAGAACTCGTCCTTCTCGGCCACGCCCTTCTTCTTCTGCGAAGGCACTCCGCTTTAGTCAGGGACGGAGACTCCTCGACTCGAAGGCTTCAGGCAAAGAGGGTGCAGACCCTACAGAGAGAGACTCAGAGACAGAGAGCTATCTCTCTTTGTTTGGGTCCTTGCAAGCGGTTGCCCTAAAGTCGACTCCTCAGAGAGCCGAGCCAATTCCTCTGAAGGCGCAGCGGGGCGATATCAGTTTGTCTCTGTGGTGCCTGGCCTTCTCCCAGCAGCTCAGAGCAATTCACAAATTCTTAGTCCTGGGGTCATGTCGGTGTCGAAGTTCAGGGGTGCTCGTTGGCAGATGCCCCTGCAGCTTACAGGGAGATGAAGGTAATGTAGAAAATGTAGACCTGCTGTCGCGCAGTCTGGGGCTGCATTGACATGTCACTGAATTGCAGTGGTTTGGCCGCTGGCCATAGCAATCTCAACAGTTCTTCTATTGCGATTGCTGTCTGCTTTGGAGTCCGGCTTTGTGCATGCTGAGGTTCTGATTCCGCTGATAGCTCGATCGATCCAAAATCCATGCGCAACAACTCTCGCGAAGGGGATAGCGTGACAACTATACTCGTCCTACTATACTCATGCACACGAAACGCCAAACCTGCTGCGAGTGACGTGTGAATCCCACGCAGCGCGATACTCGCCGGAGTCTTCCTTGGTAAAGTCGTGCCCATATCAAGCTAATTCACAAAAGTCAGACAGACATTAAATTAAGACACGACTGGTTTCGCAAGGCAGAGGCACAAGGATGCACCATTCAAACTTTCGTTAGTGTGGGTAGGATGGCCTATACATGCATGAGGCATCCGGCTCAACAGCACCCACATCAAGCCGACAAAGAGAAACCAACAGGATGCAAACAACCATTGCTGCACGTACAAAAAGCCTCTGCTCGAGGATCAGCGCTACTGTTGCCAGGCTGGCCAATAGAGTGGGAAGTGCTCACGAAGTGTCGGGTTTGGACTTGCCATCTTGGATGCCTTGACTCGACCTGGCTTGAAAACAGTTGAGCAAGGCAGACTAGCTCAGAACATCTGCTCAATCCCTCAGCGGCGACAAGGAAGACCTGGCTTGCATCACCAAGCCAGGGTTCCTGTCCTAAGCCCGAGCTCTGGGAGGTGGCAAACTCTAAATCCGAAGCCCTAGAGTTCTCCCAAACCCTGGGAGGTGGCTTCGGTAGCAGCCAGCGGACAGGGAGACTGGTCGCACATCTCGATCGAGGCTCCTTTGCTGCAGAAGCACTTCCCTGAAAAGCTTGGGAAAGATTGAAAATTCCTAAGAGAAACGCAACAAAAGCTTATACGGCTCGAGCACTGTAGCGGGGTTTTCAATTTTGCGCCCACAGAAAGTTTCTCGCAGTGGCGTCTTACATTGGGTCTAGGCACTTAGGTTTCAGAATTCCACTTTGCCTCTTGCTTTCTTTCGGGCAACCTGTTCTAAAGTTCATAAGTCGCATCCTGCCTTGTTTGAAGATGCAATTTGCAAAATTTCGTTCTTGCTCACTTTCAAGCTTTGTGTCAGAGGCTTCTAGATGCTACTTGTAAGGCGGCTTCAGAGATGGCTCACAACTTTAGGACTCGCAGGAGGGCGGTGGCAATGCAGGTTATTGTCCGTTTCCTCCGGATTCCTCCGGCTTCAGGTCATGATGCTGCCCGTGGCCCCACTGGTGGACCTCGCGCAGGTGGATGAGGTGGCTATGGGTATATACAACGTGTGAAGCGTCTGAGAGACGAGATGTGACTTCACGCTTTTTGAGGTTTGCTTCCGGCTTTTAAGTGGGGTCGACTGCGCTTGTGCATTAAATCACCCGCAAAAGAAATAGATAAGTAATGCTCAGAGTACTTCTGTCGAGCTTCCACATGAAAAGAGTCCGTCCGTGTTCCTTGCATGCCGTAGCCTGCGCCATTAATGGCCGATGAGTCTCGAAATCCCCGCAGTCACATCGATCAGGTGCAGCACGATCAGATCCAGATCTCATGGGAGCACGTCCAGTTGAAGACTGGCAGCGGAGCTGGGAAAACCCTGCATTCAAGGCTTCGGCTTTGGAGCTCTAAAGGCTTGACAAACCTTGAGTTCGGAAAACTTGCGTGCGTAGTTGAAGTGTGAAGCGAGTCGGGGATTGAGCGGGAACTGCTGCAAGACTTTGGGATGTGAAACAACACACTTTAGCCAGTCGCTCGAGTCATCACCGCCCCAGGCTTCAAATCTTAGACCATCCCCTGCACCAGAACCCCCGCTACGCCCATGTCATTCCACCCGAAATCAACAAGCATAAATGCGAGGCACAAACGAGCAAAGCTTGAGTCTTTCTGTGATCCAAGGTATCGCTCCAGGCCTCTGTGACCGCCTTTGCCTCACCAAGTCCCTCGAGGAGAGAAACTCCGGATTGTCCAGGGGTCGTTAAAGATTTGCTTAAAGGCAGCAGTTGCGGTTCCAAACTGTGGAAACGGTGTTCAGACTTGTGGCTCGGATGGGTTCGGTCTTGCGGTTCGCCGCGTGCTTCGTTACTCAGCGCTATGCGGCTGCGTTAGGGAAGATGCAAGTGTTTCAGGATTCAACATCGCCATCAGTCCTGTCAACTCCGGAGGTACAATGCAACTGCACTGCTAGCGGGGCATGGTTGTCGTGGTTGGTTTCACGGAGCGCGGCGCCGGTCGTGATTCTAGCAACATCCTCCCCGTCAAGCTGGTGGCAGCAATTCGAGCCTTTAGTTGGTACAGTATGTCGACGACCTGCTCAGCAATGCCTTTCCTGAAGGTATACTGTTGCTGCACTGAGCAATGCAACCCCCCCTTTGCTCCCAGGACCTGCATGTTTGCGCCTATGCCGTCCGGGCAGCTGCATGGACTACCTGGCGGGGCCCGCAGTGGCGCAAACCCGAGACCGTGGAGGCTTCGACAGCCTTGCGCACACATGAACGATTCTGCGCTCGGCAAACTGCGCAGTTCTGTCTAAGGAGGTGGTTCAAAACCCGTATCGACAAGAATCGACATGAGTCATGAGCCTGTTTCCGTTGGTGGCAGGTGGAGACGCTTCCAGTTGCGGAAGGCGGACGCTTGCAATTTGCGATCAAGGACCTGGAGCCAGAGAAGCTCTATGCCGCGGGACAGAGAAAGACTAGTCTGGGTAAATCCCTCAAGGTGTAATTAGCCGGAATGAAGGCTTTAATTGAGAGATTGAGAACTCCTTGGAAGATCTAGGCTTCTTGCGTCGGGCTCGAGAATCCTTAGTATCAGCACAGCAGAGTGCGGCTCTCAGGTCGTCGAAATCCGAGCCCAGGGCGCCAGTGGCTGGGGCGAATGGTCCCGAGTCGGAGAAAATCCCGTTTGCACCGCCGTGGTCGCACAGGCAGCTGTGCCGCGTCCCCAACAGTTGCATGCGATGCTTCCGACAGCAATACCTGGATACCTCAAGTTCGCATGGTTCATGGCGCTAGGAGTTGAAGCAGTTCTACGGACCTTTCTTGAAACTCCGTAGCTGGGGCCATACAGCCCTACTGGCTGCAGAACCCTGCGCTAATCTTTGCAGGAGCCCACAGCGCCCGAGCTTGTCTACGCCACGTCGCGGGCGCTGACCTTTGCTTTCCCGGGTGTGGAGGAGCCCCGAGCCCTTGGCTGCGAGGTCTCTGTCAGTCTAATCCAGCAAGAAGAAATCCCACGAATCACTGCTACGACGAACATTCCAAAACAACATGATTGCTCTGATCATCGCTGATACCGTGCACAAGAAGCTGTGGTAGCGCCCTGCTGCCCCACTCGCCGCACCTGGAGGACAGTCGAATCATTGCTTACGAGGTCCGCCGGCATGAAGGCCGGGCTAGGTCGTGGAAGACTATCAACGAGATTCTGGCAGGAATCGTGCAACTGGCCCGTGAAGCCTTCAAGGGTCAATGTCAGCAGAGAACAACTCAGAACCCCTGCGAATGCCTCCTCAAAATACACTGTTCTATACTCTTCTCGTTTTGCTTCCTGGTTTCAGGCTGGCGAGGTCGGCCGACGAGGCCTTTGCGCTTTGACTCCCAGTCACTGGCCGTGCGTGTGACCTCGGAGAACCGATGGGCAGGGGTTCCCGGAGTGGCGTCCAGCTTCGAGCGAGCTAGGGAGTAGATCGCAATTTCGACTACAGTAGTCCGATGTGCTCTTGGCTCTGCTTTTCGAAGGTCTGAACTGAAGGAAGGATGCAGGCTTCGACGATCCGCGGATATGTGATCACGACCTCTCCTGGACTGGATGTCTTACTGCATGAAATCAATGGGTTTCGGCTTTTCAGCAGAGCTTGTGCCTCTGCAGACCGCGTTTGACTTCCCGGATGCCACATGCTGACATGACAAGGTCGTGACGGTGGACCAGCTACAGAGAGGCACGACCTACACGCTTCAGACGAGGCAGCGGCGTGGGAGTCAATGAAACCGAGACACTGACGTGACATGTCTGTCACCCACGCATGCATACTCCGTGCAGTTTATGAAATTAAGAAAGGTTGTGCAGCTGGCTTGTTGGTGGTTAGGCTGACCGGGCATATAGTTATGCGCTTGCTGGTCAGCAGCTGCGAGTCTACTTTCAAGATGCATCACGCCATTGCAGGGGGATCACGGCTGGTGGTGGAGTCTCCTGGCTTGCACCTGGCAATCTTTCCCGGTGACACGGGATATTTCTGCACACATGGTTGTTTTGTCTGTGTCCCCTTCATTTGGGAAGTTCAGGTCACAAAGTGGTCCGAAAAGTCTGAGCCAATGGCCACCCTTGCCGACGAAGACACCGGCCATGAGGCACAGCGCAGTTCTGTCCTGACGGCACATGCCGTAAAAGACTGCCCTGACTGTATGTGTGGCGAAAGACTGCCAAGGTTGGCTAGAAACCGACCCATCTGCGGCTACCTTTCAGTCCTGTCCCCCTCTCCAAAGTGAGGTGGAGGTGAGCGTTGGCGTTAACGATGACACCCCTGGCATGGGCCCGCTACAGCTGGCCACCGCGGCTTGGATATCATGTGAAGTCATGGTCACAAAAGCAGAAAGGCAGAAGTTTTGGCGACCACGGTTTGTCGCAGTGCGTTTGTGGTCCATGCATACAGCAGTTGCGGCAGTTGCACAGAGTCATGCTTGTTCAGATTCATCGCCCGACATGACTTCGATTGGCAGCATCACCACGACGTAAACATCGGCGGGATTTGAACCAGCAGACTCTCCCCGTGTTGGATATCCCAGGCCATGCCAGTAGCCGACGTCAACTCTGCAGAGTCCATGGAGGCCGGGGGCTGTCATAAAGTGAAGGTTGCACGTCCACAGAACGGCGATTGCGGCAGCGTTGAGTCCTTGGAACACTGAAACCCACCGGCGCTCTTTCGATATTTTCGCCTGTTCTATACTCCTTTGGTGTAGCATGTAGCATGTTCGCTGACCTGCACACGGCCTTTCCGTCAAAGTCTTTGGAGCCGCGAGCCTAAACCGCAGATATCCGGACCCAGTCCTTGAAAAGTCAGCTGCGTGCCAGCCGCGCGCCGGCATGAAGGATGCCCGTAAATCCTTTCAGAATCCCGGGCACCATACTCAGCATCACTGCTCCTAGCTCCTGGCCGTTCTTCCAACGGCGAGCAGCCGGTCCTGAGAGGACTTCTCCAAGAAGTTGGAGTCCGTCCTCGCCTTCACCATAGATCAGGCCGGGTGCTATGTCCTAAGATTCCTGAGGAAGACCGACAGACTCGAGACTGAAGAGCTTCACTCCCTGACCGATTGCATGTACGGCGGCGAGACGCCACAAGTCCAAGCTCTTCACGTAGGGGTTGAATGGAAGTGATTCAGGATGTAGCTCTCATGACGGCTTCGCATGTTTCGTGCCAGTGCACGGCCTACCTAAGCAAAGCAGGCCACCGCTGGGGTGCGCCTGCCTTCGGTGCGAATTCCCTCCGTGGCAGAGACTTGGTTGGATTCAACTTGTACATGCCGGTGTGCCTGCTGCAGGCTCGTGCTTACCCTTCAAGCCGGATTAACGACTCACGACGTGGAACTGTGAAGGTCCTCGAGCTAGCAGCTAGTGTCCATTGCGAGAGAAGTCTCAGCACGCTGGCTTGCAGCCTGCGCCTACGAAAGGGTTTCGGCCGTGCTCCAAGGAACAGGCCGAGGAGCTGCTGCATGCCCACCATGGCGACTGTCGCGCTGGCGATCTTAAGCCACCATAGTCACCTCTCCATGCAAGGAAAGAAGTGCTCAAGGACCGCCTGAGTATCGGTGTCAGAGACGTCTCATCGAAGCTTCCAGCGGACTCTTCCAAAATGCACCAAGCAGCCCAAAGTGCAATCAATCGCTCAGCCAGGCCGTGCCGCTGTGTTGGAGGCTGCGAAGATCGAGGACGACGACACCTGGCGGACCAAGCTGCCGGATTTCCTCATCCAGCAGGCATGGGCAGCTAGTTCCTTCAGCAAGCGGGGTGGAATGGTGGTCCAGGTACCGAGATCTGTGTGTGCGTAGCGCATCCCTACCCATGCACAATCATGCTCACTTGTGAATCGAAACTAAATATTTGCACTTCCTGCCTCCAGGTGCCCGTCGTTGGTTGTTCCACGGTGCTGCTTCGAGAGTTCCTCGCCCTGAGTTGCCCATGCAGTGCGGCATGCAGGAGCAACTGGACAGGTAGCATACCGATGATCGTAGTTATCTCGAACAGCAACAACACCGAACAAATGAACAAGCACAGCAGTCAGGGGAAAGGTATGACACGAAATACGGTCATGAAGTCGACGGCCGAGGCTTTGGAGAAGCATCCGGCGCTGTGCGTTGGTTGCGCACCTTTATGGCGGCTCGTCTGGCAACGTGCACTCAGCTTGGAGCCTTCACTGCTTGCAGCATGCAGGTCACGATACTCGCAGCCCCGAGACGTAACCCGGCAGCACGTTTGCGGCACATGGATTTTGGATGGCTCTGAGCCCAAGACCTGCATGGAGCCAGCAGGGTCCTCCCAATATCCAGCATTTCTGCCCTGTGGCAGCTCACTTCTGTTCAGCACAAGACAAGTTCGCTTCACAATCGTGCGAACATGCAGCTGAATCTATCGCCGATGCCTGTGGTAGGTGAAACTCGAGACAGGAACCAATCTTCGCAGGTGAGGAGGAAGGCTTAGCAAAACGAGATATGGTCCCTTTCAGTCGTGGGCCACACGCTAATTATACCGCTATACATGCGTTGATCACAAGAGAATGAGAAGCCTCGAACTCTTCACATCTTGCCAAGTAGATGCACTGTGTGTGAGCCAGGCAGGCCTTGATCCTCACATGCCTCGTTCCGGGGGGCTCTGGAACCCCGGCTGCACCGGCTGCGCCTTGTCACAAGGTGGCTGCGTTCTTGCAAGCGTCTCTGGAGGTCATTAGCGGAGCACCCCAAGACATGCCGGCCCCGGCTGTCAGCGCTTCTGAGTCTGAGTCGAGAAAGCAAGTCCAGACCGAAGGCAACTGAATTGAACGGCTCTCGAGAGCGTTACCATATCATGATCGTTGTCTGTGAGCCTGTCATGTCCCCAACGCAGGGTGCACTGCATGGTAGGCCCTCCGTCACAGGCAAAAGCAGGAACATCGTCCAAAGCCTCTGGGATGTTGACTAAGGTGCCTGCAGCTGGAACCGGGTCTGCGAGTTCGCAGCAAGGCATTTGCCCCAGCCTTGTCAAGAGATGGCAATGCGCGGTTTTTTCAGCACTCTGTCACGTACAGTCCTGGAGCACAACATCAACATGAAGTTCAGCGAGGGTTGCCTACGCCGCGAATGTATGTGACATGTCGAGTTTTGTTGATGTATTCACAGCAGAGGTATGTCTCCTTTATGGTTGCTGAACATTTTTCACTTCCGTAGTGCTCTTCTACCTGCTCTATTCATTTCACAAACCTGCTGGGAGCCCTCCTGTGCTCGACAGAAAAATTCACAGCAAAGAGGACGGGCATGCATGCAGAACGTTTCCTGTTTTCGCAGCCATCCGTGGAGTAGGCTGTCTAATTTCCGTGGACTGCTTCTAGGAAGTCGCCGATTCGACCTCCGTGATTAAGCTTGACAACGCAATTACTCAACAAAAGTTGCGGCAAAGGGCAAAGTGAAGATCATGCATATCTTGCGCAGACAAGGAAGCAACGAGCCTAGCCTAATCTGAGACCCATAACTCGAAGCTACTGCTTCGACATATTAAGACACCAAGGCACGAACTCAACAAACAGCACACATAACCCTAAACCCTAAACCCTGTGCGTCGTAAGAACGGAGCCATCTCGCGAGCTCGTTTAAAGCATTGCAGGCTACGTGGTGAAGGACCAGAGCGCCGTGCTGAACCCCGGCGTGCTGGGCGCTGCCGAGGCCACCGAAGTTTTAACGGTTCCAGACTCATGGTCTTATCTGTGGCTGCGGTGGCGGTAGCTCTACTACTTCTCATCTGGCAGATGTGCCCCAGAATTTCGGAAGAAGCGCAGCCGCAGCCCCCTTCCGCCAGCCAGGATGTCGTCTCTTCCCGGCGTGTGGCGCTGCTCGTGTCCCGGGCCTTGGCCAAGGACTCGTAGCCTTCTCTGCACCTCCCTCGCCAGGTACTTCTGATTCTGGGCTCTTGTAGTTGTAGCATTGATCTCGACTCACGGTGCTCAGAGAACCGTTTCTGCAAGTCACACTGCTGTGGGAATCAAGGCCATAATTGAGTCAATGCAATTCTTCAACTTATCTATCGCCAGCTCTTGAACTGTTGCAGTCGAAGCTCCAAGCTTTGCAGACACCCCTCTGTTCAGGAAACCTTCGTGCGCGCCACAGGGCTGAAAAGCGCAGGGCAGGCAGGACCTTAAGCCGCCACCACATGCCTGGTGATCATAGTAACGCCGGAACAGAACCATAACCGAAGCACTTAGAACCTACCCATAGGCCCTAAAGTAGTTCCTTTTTGGGGTTCATATATAGAATCCTATAAGGGAACCCCAAAAAGGAACTACTATGGGGCCTATGGGTATACGTCACTGCACCCGGACCTGCGTAGCCTCACGTGTCTGCAGGTCGTCGGCCTCTTGGAAGTAGCCGGCCGGCTGCTGAAGAACAGCTCCAAGGCCAGGAGGGTTTACTGAACTCGGGGCAACCCTAACCCTCCAGGTACCTACTATATAGGGCCCTAGGGGCTCTAGTACACCCATATAGTAGGTACCTGCGGGGTTAGGGCAAGGATTGGAGTGTTTCGAAGGTCGGTAGACTCTTTTGGGGTTGGCTGAAGGTGCTTTCCTTGATGGCAAGGGCTTTCAGGCATTCGGGCCCATGGAGAACATGGATCTTAAAGCGAAGAGAATCCGTAGAACGGTATTCAAAAGCTTGTGCCAGGATGCGGCCTCCGAGGGCAGCGCCCTGACAGAGCAGCTGGCAGGTGCCAGGGTGGCTTCTTGAAGTCCATATCATCGCTAAATATAGGGGGGTTTCCCTATTATGGCCTACCATATTAAGGATCTATAGAAAATAACAGGGTTTCGTTATTGGGATGAGCTTCAGCGTGTTCGTCTTTTGGGAGCTGGAGTCTTGTTTAAGCTAGGCTAGCTGGAGATGGGGGCATGGAGGTTCCACATTAAAGGTGTTTGGACAGGAGCCCAGTGTAGCCCAGACTCGGAGCACCTCTAGTTTTGTGAAATGTGCCTACCGCTCCGCGGTCTGCTGCTTCATCTTGTCCACCGAACCCGAACAACGACAAGCTCTCCGCATGGGCAGATGACGCCTTAGTGGCTGAAGCTGCGACGCCTGTGAAGGTGGCACTGGCTGGGACCTCACATTCGCTTTGCTTTGATAATGCCTGGTCCACTCGGTCTTTGATGGAAGATCTGCAGCAAGCCGATGTATTCCTCCATGCTTGGAAGGCTCAACATGTTTGTCGGAGAGAAAGGCTGAAATCGAGGTCAATCCAAGTTTATGAAGTCGAAGAGATCAGACAGGCATACTAGGCGCCAGGCGCAGTTACGGGTTAATCGGGATGTCAGTACAGGCATCAAGGCAGTGGGCCAGTTTTGCTGTTCTCAGCTTTGGATTTTGCATCTTTGCAAATCTTCCCGTTTCAGGTCGTCTTCAGGCCAATGGCTTTGGAGGAGAGGCCCATTCTGGTCGGCGGACTGCTGGCTCTCTGGCCGGGCTCCTGGGAGTCTCCGGGCCCGCGCCCGCCAAGTTGCTCGTGCTTCGCGAGCCGAGGCTGCTTCCCATATTCATGTCTGCCGCGCGCTTCGTTTTCGCCAAGGCCAGAGAATCGGAACTGTCCTGGGTTGGCTGGTACTAGATACTGTGTTACCGAAAATAGAAGGGAGATCTACTGCTGTTGCTGTTGCTGCTTCTTCCACTACCACGACCCCCTGCCACAACCACCGACCACTGCCACTGCGACGCCGCTACTACAAAGCTGCTGCTACTACTACTACTACTACTACTACTACTACTACCACGACTACTACTACTACTACTACTACTACTACTACTAATAATACTACTACTACCACAACAACTACTACAACTCCTGATGCTGCTGCTACTACTACTGCTACT